CATGCAAACATCTAAAATTGGAGTGGCCTGAGCTATGGCGTGACTTGGGGGGTTTCTCTTGCAGGGTACATTGATATTAAAAAGTCAGACAGGAATAATTTGGGCTAAATTGTGAAGTACATTGAGTACCTTCAGGACAGAAATGCCAGCTGAGCAGAGCACCCTGCAGTTTACTGGGGGATGAAACACTGCAGTGACTGAGCTGATTTACTTGCATTTACTCGCATCATTAGGAGAATGGGATGCTGATACTGGAGGTGGGGGAAAGCAAGAGAGACAGAGCATGGCCTCTGGGCTGAAATCCTCCTCGAGGCAAAACAGAGCAGATATTGATGTGGCCATCAGGCACACAGTGTCCAAGTGCTTGGAAAAGCCTTTGCAGGAGAGCGAGCCGCCTCCCAGAGCTGGGCTCGATGTGCAGGGCCTTGGGCGCCTGGAAGCAAGAGGCACCACTTGTGCCCTGCAGTCCTTCAGGGCCCGGAGGACAAAGCGTTGCAGCGTATCCAGAGCAAGGGATGCCAAAAAGCTGGCGAGTCTCCGTGCAGGGGGTGGCCCTTTCACCAGGGCTCTGACGTCCGTGCCTTTTGAGAGCTGCCTGAGCTCTGAGTTTTCCTGGGAGGCTGTAACGGAACGGGCTGTCGGAAGGGGAGCAGTGCCGTGGCAGCACCTCTCTGTTCAGTGAACTCTGCAGTGTTGAGCCAAGCGGGAGTCCTTAGCTAGTGAGAGCTGCTGGGCTTCCTTCCATTTCGTTTTGACCAGCATTTGGACAGGTCCCTGAGCACTGAGGTAGCGTGAGGCTTCAAATGTCTTCAGCCATGTGGCATCAAGGCAGTTTGTTTTCTTGCTGTTAGGATGCTCGTGGATGAGGAGAGCTCTTTACATGTGAGTGCCGGTGACTTGCACCACCTCTGTGTGCCAGTACAAGTCACAGAGACCAAGCTCTTAGCAGGAGCCAGCCATTTAGACTGTCATTAAAATTTCTGATCAGAGTCTCAATTTACTTGAATAAGAGTAGGGGAAGAAAAAAAATAGTTGAAAAGGGGGAAACATGTTTTTGTGTTCTTGAGGTTTGGGTCGGGTTGTTTATTTTTAACCAACCCTGTGAACAAGTATGCATATCTGATGAGTACTGGAGTGGCCTATTTGGAATAAGTCTGTTGGCCTTGCTAGAAATTGTGTGAGTTTGTGCCGATCATTTATGATATACTCTCAACAAGGTAAAGGCTTCACTAAAAAATAAAAAGTTTGAGGATTAACTGCACTTTGGTTTTAGCTTTTGCTATCAAATGCTATGTTAGTATGTTGAGGTTTTGTTTTTTTGAGGGATTTGTTCTAGCCTGTATTCTTCATCCTCCACTTAAGAGGAAGAAAAAAGCAAACACTTTTCAAAATCCTTTGATCTGATAACACAGGGCATTTAAATTTCATTTATGGCAAGCTGTTCCTTCAAATTCAAACCATAGCATTTGCCTCAGCTAGGAGGTGGAATGACTCTTTGACAAGTGTAAGGTTCAATAAATCAGTATAGCTGCCATTTATACTGGCGTTATTAATGAGAGATACTCTGTGGGCTTCTGAAAACAAGAATATAAAATTAAATTTGTATCAGTGAATCAGCCTAGAAATCACTTGCTTGTAGAGCCTGATGACGTGTAGCATGCTTTAGGAGATAACAAGCAAATGAAGGGAAAGCTGTCACTTGTTTTGCTCATTTTTTAGATGGCTCTGGTTCACAGACTTACTGAAAATGATTGTGATTTGGATAAGCTGCTCCTGAAGCTATTGTTTAAAAGAGCAATGTCTCACAAATTGACCAACGTTACTGCTTTGATAAAAATGATCTTTAAATCAACTCTTCTTCTGGGAAGACTTGACCAATCCTTGCTGTATACGAAAACCTGTCTGTTGATAGACACGATCTGTGCCAGTGTGGATTAGTGCAGCACTGCACAGCAAAGTACTGTTTGGTTTTAATCGCTTATATGCGCCCTTAGCAATATCTAGTTCCACATACCTATGCAAAAGAGACTGTGGCATAAACAGTAGCAAAAAGATGATGATCCACAAAGCAGGGTGACTAGTTTTGGTCTGTGTTACACAGCGTGACTGATGGAAGCAACCTCTTCTTGACTTGTGGTGTCAAACAAGTTAGGACAACAGTAGAATACTCTCCAAATGAATTCCCTGTTGTACAGCTCTGTAAATATGTGTGTTTTCATAGGGGAGACTGTGCGCTTTGCAATATCCACAGCATAACTTTCTTAGAGAAGTAATTAATTTTGTGTTTAGTTTAGAATCCTCATCTGTTAAAATATTTCACAGATTGTCCTTTAGGGGTGTGGAACAGGAAGATGTCATCCACATCTTACAGGTGATGGCCAGAAAATCTTTGACTATTGGTCTCAGTTTCAGAGCCTGGCGGTCAGACATCTTGCATGTTTGCAGGAGTGGTTGTTAACAGAAGAGAAAATCTTTAATCTCTGTCCAAATAAGCACATTTTTATGAGAACTCAGTTAAAAAGAATAAGGAAAGCAGTGTGTCTGCATAAGCTGCTGCTCCAGACGGGAGGGCCCTGGGAGATGGCTGGAGGGGACACGGTGGCACAGGGTCTCTGGCAGCAGTGCATGAGGCAGGGATGGGGAGGAGGATGAGGAGGGCCATGCATGCGGGTTATGGTTCACCTGTCTTAAATTTGCAGCTGTCAAATGATTCCAAGTACGCTGCTGGATTCCCATGTCTGTGCTCTACTGCTCTGCTGACGACCGAAACGTCCTCTATATCCTGCGTCTGTCTCGGTGCTTTCCCCTTCATCGTACCAAATAGCACCCAGAGCCTGAGGGGAGGGAGAGAAGAGGACACCAGAGAAGGAGAAATGTTTGCTGCTGGTTTGCAGTGATCTCCATCGGGGAAGGAGCAGGGTGCAAAATAGGGCTAGTTTAGTCTCTTTTCCTGTTTTGGACTTCATACTGTGCCTACTAAATCTGCAGCTTTATTGCCTATGAATTGTGTAGCTTTTGATCTTTTATATGCAGTAGCTTTTTTTTCTCCCGCGGAGCGGTTGTCATGTGGTCTCCAATTTACATGAATGCTAAACAGAATGACACAAAATGAAGTGGCGTTGCTGTAACGAAACCTATTAATAGCTTTGCGGAGAGGCACTGACGCATCTCAGATATAAGGACTTGGAATTAAAGCTGAGGAGAATAATCATCTCTGCAGACTAAGTTTTCCCAAAATGAGCAGTGAATGTAAGTGCTCAGTTAGAGATGGTTTCAAAGGGCTATGATTTTTCAGATAAAGTTTCTTAAAATCAGGCTTGCTTGAGGCATCTCAACTTGGGCTGACACAAACTGAGGCAAGCACCTCTAAATCACTGTTGGAAATTTTGGCCAAACGGCTGTATTCAAAACACTGCTGATCGTATCATAGTATACCTTCCATAAATACTTGTTTTATTTGACAGCTGTTGTTTCCAAACAAAAAAACCTGGCTCTAGTACATTTCTGAAACAAAACTCTGGCAGTGAGAGGTGGTTATGGATGGAAGCACAGAGGGGCTGGCACTGCCTGGGCTTCCCAGCAGCACCCCAGTGCTTTTTGTGGGTGCTGGCCTGCCTCCCCGCGCGTCTCCCTTTCTGGTCTCCTGCCAGTTGGGATGCATTGTGGTGTGTTAGCATCTGGCAGCGCTGCCCTGGCGCAGTGCGATGCTGGTGAAGGGTAACTTCAAACTGGGCTGCTGCAGAGCTGCTCCGAATGCCCCTGGGCAAGAGCTGGTGTCCCCGGACTTCAGTGGTGAGCGAGGCACCCGAGCTGCAGCTTGGCTCTCCACTGATGAGGAGGAGAGCTGAGTATCTTCATTTTGGGCTGTCCAGATTGCATCAACTTTAAAATGCCTATCACAAACTAAAATAAGTTATGCCTTCATCTTTTGGGTGTTGATATGGTCCAAGTGTTGATCTGGTCCAAGTGTAATACCCCTAAGTTAAGTGCATTAAGATTACTTTGTTGTTGATGTTGTGCTGGGTAGAGGCTTGCAGGTGTTCCATGACAAAAATGTAATTGCTAAGAACGTTAGTTCAGTTCAACACTTAACCGTGGTGCACAGAGCAAGATCATAGTCTCTTGCTGGTTGCCTTAGTAGAGCTCTTGAGTCTGTACTTCCCTTGTTGCAAGTGTACAATTCCCGTATTATCCTGTAATCGCCTTAATGGAATATATATGTATTCGGAATAAATGCTTACCAGAACTGTCTCTGTCATATGAAGTATGCCTAAAGCCTGTATTTTGAAACAGTTACTTCAGAAATGGAAGCAGAGCCTGTCATTGATGAAGCACATGAGATTTTTGCCTTTTGGGTTCATTAGGATGTCAAGTTTGTTATGATTCCTCAATTACATACGTGGATAAAGAACAGCAAGGTCAGAGGCAGGATCGGAGGAAAAAATGTGACTATTTTTGACCCAGATTTCAGAGCTGTGCTGCAAGATGCAAGATTTTGAATTTATTTTGAACACAGCCATTTCTTTTTGAGACAAATCTTTCCCAAACAGTGTTCTTTGAGCAATTGCAGAACATCACCATGTTTTTTACCTGTGGACTCCATCAGACGTTTCCTGTTACTGATAGGAAACAAAACAGTCTCTGCATAGGAGTAGGGAAATTATGGCAGACTTGCTCAAGGCATAATGGACAACAGAGATGGAAACAGATGTGCTTTTAGTCCTCTTGTTCTCTACAGTAGGGTTTACCTCTGGTTTTCTAGGATTGCCTTGTAATTTCGCTTGATTTTTCTGGGGTTTGTGTTTGTTTGTTTTTTAAAGCCACCTCACTGGTATTAGTTTTATTTTAACACTTGTCAAAGATGAGGTATTTAGTTCAGACAGTACAATGTAATTGGTCTCATCTGTCAAGTGTTCTCAGTCAGATAAGGTGTGGATATTTATTCTGAGAGGAACGCATAAAAATATGGTCTGTGCTCAGGTTTTCGTTATTTTTTACAGGACACAGATATATCAGTCAAGCTGCAGCTAAAATTGACTTGGATTTTGATTATGATGGACCTCTAATGAAGACAGAAGTTCCTGGACCACGATCTAGAGTAAGTTCCCAAAGTATAGTAGCTTGGGGTTGTTTTCCTCTTTAGCTGTGTTTAACTTGGTAGAAAACAAATTTCTTTCCAAACCTTTAATCTGATATGAATAAACATAATTTCACAACGGTCTATGCCCACTTTTATCAAGATGCTGAGAATGAAAAGCTTCTGAATGAAATGCCCCTCTGCAAGAGAGAGATCTGAATCTCAGCTGCCAACTTCACATATGGAGTAACTGAAAGCAAAAGAACATCAGTTTGATGAAGTATCTCACTGGACTTGGTTACTTGTGCTCCTGCTAAGAGAAAGAAACTTAATTGGCTTTTTATGATGTGAAATAGCTTTGGTTTTGAAATGAAGCAAGAGTTTCAATTTGCTGGGCACTGTTTTACTCTGGCAGAGTCAGTATTCATGTGTGTGGTGGTTAAAAAAAAAAAAGCTGTCTTCCTAGGATCAATGTGGCAGTATCCCTTCTGTGTGCCTCTGGCCTCTCTGATTTCTCTCTTGTTTTCTCAGTTCAGTTGATCAATATAGAAGAGGCAGTTTTCCCTGTTTGGAGATTTACAGTTAAACTGTGTTTGTAGCCCATGTAGCTCTGCATGCCACAGTTAGTACTTTTGACTAATATTTGCAAGATGCACTGTGAAAGTTGATGTGGCAAGTAGAGTTGCCTAGTAAGCACACAGGACTGCAAGTTTTGCCTATGATTTATGTGATCATAAAAAAAGTCCGTTCTTCTTCTGTATTCGGTAACTATATACCTGAGACTTTTTGGTGTTTGTTTTTCTACAGGAATTAATGAAGCAGCTGAATGGCATTCAGGTAATTTGTGAAGTTTTCTGAGTTTGGGGGGTGTTAATACTGTGATTTCATAACTTCCTTTAAAATGCTGGTTTGTGTGTTTAATTCTATATCAAAAAAAAGGTGAAACACTGACTCTGGGTTTCCACACTGAGTATATTCTGTATGGTATACACATGCATTTGAATAAAATGATTTTTTAGTGTATTTTGAAAACTGCAGAAATATTTTGCTAGGATTGGTGATTTTTCTTTAAGCACTGTGTGTTCCTTTTGAGTTGTTCTGAAGTGGCCGGTAAAAACACAGGTATGTTTGAGCTTCAGCGTAAAAGCGTGCCAACCTAAGTGCATGTTGCCTTCCCAAGAAGAGCAATTCCTTAAAGTCTGTGCTTTATTTCTGTAAAAAAAAAAAAAAGTGCATACTTGCCCTTTTAACAGTCCCTCTTTGTAAAAATGGCTCTACAGTTAATTCCCATGCAATGGATATAATGTGTCTTTGTATCTTATCATTAGATGTGTTTATCAGATTTTGCTGTATAACCGTTTGTTGCACCTTCCTACACACTGGTACTTTCTAAATCATTAATAGTTTATTTTTTCCTTTAAGAATGCAGAAGCTGTACACTTTTTTTGCAATTACGAAGAGAGCCGAGGGAACTACCTAGTAGATGTAGATGGCAATCGCATGCTGGATCTCTACTCTCAGATTTCATCCATTCCAATAGGTAGGAGACAGTTATACAAAACTTTTTGCTTTGTCCTCAAGCTGTCGTTTTCTTAGCTCAGCCACTACCAGAAAAGTTGGTTGATTAACTAAAAAAAAAAGCAAAGCTGACATAACATATGCCTTGTTGCGATCAGGGTACACCTCACTGCTGTGTGTTGTGTAGTGGTGGTTTTGCATAGCTGAAGAAACTACAAATTCAGTACTTACAGCTCACTTGAGGTGCATAGTGGTGCCTGGAAGAAGCGCTAGTACTAATCTTAATTTGAACATGCAAGTTCCATAATTTAGGTTGTCTTTGCTTGGATTTGTGTACTTTGTGATTCTGTAACAGTATATTACTGTTTTAAACAGTAACAAATGTAGCTTAAACATTTTAACATTAAATCATAAGCTTTAGTTAACGTTTGTATCACTAAAGAATTGAAAAAAAGAGTTGGCCATGTTGTGGCCGCAGAGATTCCAGTAGGCTGAAACCAGACAAAACACTGAATGGTGGTGCTGGGTGAAAGCAAAGGTGGCAGGTCACTTGGGCTGAGGGACCAAACAATGGACTTGTCAAGTGCTTGGGAAAGTCAGCTGATTTTTTTTTTGTCATGATGTGTTTCAAGAAGGAAAAGAAGGAAGGCAGAGATGTAGGCCCCAACTGCAAGGAATGTCCGTTTCAGTAGGTGTTCGGTTGGTTTGTTCCTCGGCCATGGTGCCTCTCAGTTGCTTAAAAACTACGTTTCTGCAGAAGCAAAAAGAGCAGAAGTGCTGGGGTAATTTAAAAGGTAGATGTTGTGCTATGTATAGAAACCATGACGACTCAAAATCATCCCTGCAGGCTTCCTTTATTGGGAAACAGATTTTAGTGATGTTCAGGTCATTCCCAAATTTTTGGCATCTAAGACCTTGTGACTGCACTGGGTTTTCAGTTATCCCAACCTTCTTTGCAGTTATTGGCTTTGCTCTTATGCAGCACCTCCATAAATATGTAATCATTGCAGAACTCTTGACTGTTTGTAACTTATTTTCATCAATACAAGTTCTGGATATTCTTTTTCTTTTAGAGCCTGCACCGAGATAACTTTGTTGCTGCTAATGTGGAAATAGGGGCGAGACAAAGGAACACAATGCTCGCGATACTTGTACACAGTGCTCATCTAACTTACATGGGATTGGATTTTAGGTTTCTAGGAAAGGAGGTGCATTTGATGTTCAAGACCTCCCATTCTTCACACAAGAAATGCTGATTTGCAGAAACTAGTGCATGGTCATGTAGTCAAAGGAAAGTCAGTGCATACCCCAAAAGAATGAAATTAAGGTTGTACAGACAGTGCACTGAAGCTTTCTGAGCTTCTAGTGCTTGCTGGTGCAAGCATACCCCTTTTAATACAGTTTTTGTGTATAAAATATTTAAGTATTGGGGGGAAGTATTTTATTAATGGGAAGAAATGGGCAAGGGGTTCTGCAGTTCTCTGGTTGATTGAAACTGGTGACATAGACTCCAGTACCTATAACCGATCCTCAGCTAAGCCATCTAGTTCCTCCCTCATGTGTGGCAGTGCCGCCTTGAGGATAAGCTGGATTTTTTCCTCCTAGAGGACATGTTTCTTAGGTCACAAAGGAACAGTGCTTCGTACTTCTTCTCAGATAATGGCTCTGTGATGTGTCGCAACAAGAAGTAAATGGAAATTTCATACTTACAGGCTGACCTAAATCTAACTGAATGCACAGCATTAATTTTTTAAGTTGTACTGGATGACAAGACTGACTATCTCAAGCTGCAGAGGTTGCTGATAATGTCCCTCTGGGTGACAGAGTTAGGTTCTAGACTGGGACACCAAAGCAAGATCACAAGGTGCTTGCTAGTCATCTCTGTGCTTATCTCTCTGCAAGTAAACCAAATAAAACCTTTTATGAATCTGTCAGGACTCCCCAAGATTTAATAATGATCTGCTACACTAGAATGTATTTATCAGTGGAGGCTGAGAGGTAGTAAGTGCCTGTGTGGAGAGATAAGAATTAAAGTATAAAAAACCTCTAGGCGAAGATGTTCTGGGCTGTTTCTTGCTGAAAAACAAAAATTAAAACAGGTTTTTTACCACATGCTTTTTGGGAGGTTATAGCACAACATACTCCTTTAAACCTGTATCTAATCTGTCTAATAGTGTTAGAAACCCCATGGAGCCAAATGCAAGAGGGGATTCTATTGACGTGTTTACTAGCAAACATCCTGGAACAGCAAATGAAACAATCTGGGTTTCAGTGCTGGGAAGGTCTGTTTTTGTTTGGGGAGATGTAGTTTGATATCATCGACAGCAGCCTGCTGCTCGTTTCAAATGGATTCTTTGGGCTTTCTCAGTCTCCCTATTTCAGCAGCCTCCAGTTTCCCTTTTGCAGACAGGCACATTTGTGAGCCTGGAGGACATGTACTTTCCTGTTGCGTTGATCCAGACACATAGCAAGAGTGATGAAGCAGGTGACCTTCTCTTAAGAGGAGCCAGCTCTGTCACTTCTTATAGGAATGTATTTGAGAGCGGATTCGTAAAGCTACAAAGCCTTCCCTTGGTCATGGCAGTGAAACAAGTGACTGTCTGTTTGCCACCTCTGCCTAGGGCTTTTTGACTTTGTCTGCCGTCATTATGTACTAGTTGTTTAACCATATAGTTCTTCCTGGTGGTGGTTTTATGACTGTGAACCCATGTCCCAGTACAGCGTCTTTTTACATGCAGACCTACTCTTACAGTTGGGCTTTAAGGATTCTCTTTTTTTACTGGGGCCTGTTTGAGGATGCACCAGCAGAATAGGGAGTGTTAGGAGGAAGACTGGGCCACTTGGCCTGAAGTGAAGAGAAAGGGAGAGACATCTTGGGGGGGTAGGAAAGGGTAAGTTATGGGTAATAGAAGCCTTGAATTTCTGTTACATAAGAGAAGATGCAAAGATCTCTGCATTCTTCATGCATCATAGCACCAGCAACAGAACTACATGTTTTCACAGGCAGTATCGGAGTTCATGGTTAAGCTTCCTAAGCAGTAGTAGCTATTTATAACAAACTTCTCTGAGGTTTAGTTTGGAGATGGTACTAGACACACGCTCAAAGGTGCTCTTAGTGGTAGCTACAGCTCCCAGTGACACAGCTTTCAACTGTGTCATTCCCTTTATCCTAACAACAATTCTGCCCTTGACAGCAGATGCAATGCAGATTTAGTTGTCTGTGTCCCAAATAACTGCTTGTATTGTCTTCATAATAATTTTCACAGATTCTTTGCAGCGTGACATGTAGTTAAAACAATCTGGATATTTCCTTGTTTTGAACTACAACACTGAAAAGGGAATGTGTAATTGATTTGTTAACGCAGTAACCTAGTGCTCCATTGCTCAGACAGGATAATCAGGGCTACTGTCATTCAACTAGAATGAGAAGTTCAGAGGCATGATAAGATTTTTATCCAACTTTCTACAAGGGGATATAAAAGATGATGTTAATCTGTGGCTTTGGCATCTCATGCATTAGAAATCAGGCTTAAAATGAAGTTTTCTGGGCTCCTTTGGTGAATTACTTTTTTCTTAGATCAGATAGATACATTGGTTTACCTGTAAGCAAGCAAGTTATCTCATAGAATGTCAATGGGTGTAAATTAAGCACCTTTGTTGTGTTAAACCCAAAGCATCCTTAGTATCTTGATGTTTCTGGGTTAAAAGGACAAACTGTTGCATCTTTCCCAAATACAAGCATGTCAAAGTAAGCTAAACAGGAAGGAAAAAAAAGCTGGCTGTGAGAGAAAGTGAAAAGTGCAGAATCTCTTTAATACAAGACAGCAGTTTATCTAACAGGTTTTGATGGTGGTGCACAGCTGAAGTAAGTCAATCTATGACTGAGGAGGAAAGATTTCCAGACAGGTGTCTTGGAATAACTAATGGGCTGTGGCGGGTTAGAGATTTGGGTGCTGATCAGTCCATGAGTTGTAAGTGTATGGCTCGCTATGTAGCCAGCCTCTTCCTTCTGGTGGGGTCGTTAGTGATCGTGCATGAACATCTGCAGTGTGCAGGGGTGAAATGTGCATCTTCATGCGTGCAAATAAACGTGTATGTATACGTGAAAGCCTAGAGATTGTGGAGGCCAGCACATGCACACCTCAAAACCAAGTTTGGCAGCACCTTGTGCAGAGAGCGCGTTTGGATAGCACGGTAGAGGGTAGTGGTGCTGAACGCCATCCAACTGCAACAGATGTCAAGAAGCGCTGTCAGGCCATTGGCAAAATTCTGCTGGCGTCCCAGGGCTTAGCCCTGCTGGGTCTGCTGTAACGTGCTTGTGGCACGGATCAGCAGCGAGAAACCATCTCCGAGGACAGCACTGCTGCGCTAGCAGGGTCACCTGCGCCCCCCGGCTCTGCCTGCTGAGAGACAAAAAGCCTTTGCTGGTCCGTTGTTAGTATGTTACAATGCACTGAAGTTGCAATTGCTAAATGGGCTTTCTTTGGGAAGTTGATAAATATGTGAATTTTTGCTGTTTCTTACACTCAGCTGCCAAAGGCTGGGGAACTGCATGGAAGAAAAGCATAAAGGCAGGGAATATCTGTTTCTAAGCTGATTTTACAGTGAGGAAAAATCCAATCAGCTGAAAAGCACAGCGAGGGCGGGTGGGGGGAGGAGAAATCTCTGTTATTGTGCTAGGAATAATCAGTCTGGTATTCCAGGAGGGTAAAAATTGCTACGAGACTGGAAGTGTACGCCAGCTACTGTAGAAGGACAGAGCTGCAGGGGGAGCTTCCCGCTGGTTCCGTTTCTGAGGGGCGTGTTGGGTGGTCGGTGCTCAGTGAGAGCCACGGAAGACAAGCAGATCCGAGCTACAGTGAGCGAGAACGGGAAGCAGCCTGCTGCCTGCCTCAGGCAGGAGAAACTGGAGACTCATCTATACCACAGCTAACTGGTGACTGACAGAAACAATGGGGCTGCATGGGCAGAAAGCAATTTCTGCTCTGAATTGAGGAAGAGGAGAGGTTCGTATGTGGTACTGTAGAGAACCAAATACACCTGGGAAACCTAGAAAGCATTTGATGTTGGTCTTGCAGTACTTGAGTGAAGCATCATAGTTTCTACCAGGCCCTGTCAGGCCAGAGGTCCATGTCATGTTCATTTATTTTTGCACTCAATTTTTAACTTTCAGTACTAAAATATGTTTTGCTGTTGTGTCACACAAAATACCACAGTTCCAGAAATATATTTTGTAAAAGAGAGGTTTGTCCTACTTTAAAAGAAGTTCTATTATTGGTAGTTAAAACATACACAAGTTACACAGAAACAGTCAAGTATTAAGTTAAGGTTATTCTCTAGGTTCTGCTTTACTTGGTTTATTGAAACCAGATAGAAATAACTGGTTTTGTTCTTTGTTCTTTTTAATAAGGTTACAGCCACCCCTCTCTGATAAAGCTTCTACAGCAGCCACAGAACTTGGTAAGTGAACTAAAACATTAAGTACTTGAAGGAGTCCTCTCCTTCCTTGTGGCAGTCTTTCTTATTTTTTCTTAAACTAATAATGAATGCTTAATGACTCACTTTAAAATGTGATAGGATCTGCTTTATTTCTCACTAGATGAGAAGAGCTTGGTGGTGTTTAAGATGCCGCCAAAACCTCTGTGAAGCTTTACAAGAAGTCAACATTTGGGCGATGCAAGCACTTGATATGTTTGCAGCCAGTTTTAAATCGTAGTGTTTCCAATTAACCATTTTAGCAGTGTTCTTGAGTGAAGGATTTTGACGCTGAAAGCAAGCAGAAGTCCTTGAGAGAGAATATAGTATTTTGAATATGAAAATGGCCCCCTAAATCTGGAATGCTGAGGGGGGGAAAGCAGGTAGTGGCTGGTTTCCATCTCTTAAGTACTAAGTTGACTACACCGCTGACATATCCTTGAAAAATTCAAATCATTAGACTAGGGCAACACGATTATTTTGAAACAGAGTAACTGCTTCTTAAATAAAGTGTCTTCCTGTTTTCTCTAACAGTGTGCTGATAGTGATTGGAAACCTGGATTAAATGATGGAAATTGTGGAAATGAAGCTGTATTCTATTTCAAGTTTCATTTTGTCACTGCTTGGCCAAAACCAACGAAATCCCTAAACAAAACTATTGTCTGGTGGCAGTTGCTAATTTGTCCACTGGAAAAGTGACGTTAACAGGCTGCCAGCTAGAAGCCTGCAGTAAAAGGAACTGCCTCCCGAGTGCAACACGACTGGTGCAGCCAGACCCCCTCTCTCCCACATACGAGCATCCAAGGTGTTGCTGGTACCCAGTTCTAATTTCTGAATCCTGCGCTAGTTCCGGGGAGAGGGCGGCACTCAACCCACCAGCCTGCGCCCGCGGGATTGCTGGCAGGCTGCAGCTGGGGCACGGGGTAGGCAGGGTGTCAGTTCTGCAGTGCCAAGGGCAGAGAGCTGTGAAGAGCCGGCACTTGTGCAGACCTCGCTGCAGACAGGCGTGGGGTCTGACTGCAGGTGAAGTGCCAGAGTTACTGTGAAAGTGCTTTGAGCAGCACACACTGAGGGAGGGCCCTTGTTTAACGTCAACGGTGGGATCGGTGTTTCCTTGCAGCGATTGTTTGTTGGGTTTCTTTGCAATGCTGCGTGTACCCTCTTTATAGCCAGCTCTAAAGAACAGACGGTGCATCTGTTCAGACCGTAGCAGCTTGATGTTGATGTTCTGTTTTTGTCAGTACTATGTGCCTCATTAACAACAAAAGAAAAATACACTTTTCTGCTTAATGGCAAATGTTGTCAGTTGACTGTGACAGCCCATAATCAAATTCACCACAAATTTATGGTCTCATATCTCTAACTTTATATGAAAACTTACTTCTAAACTGAGGTAAAAAGTCAAGTAAGATTTCTCAAACATACTAAACAAAAACTTCATGTTAATCTGTCAGCAAATCCTTGCTCAGGTTTATTTTTTTTAAGCTTGAGTCTGTTGAAACAAAGGTTGTTTTGGAAGTAACACACTTGTACAAGTTACAAAGTCCTACCTATACTCCATTATATCTTGTGTACTATTTGGTTTTCCCTAAGAATTCTGATGAAGTGTTCTTACAGGTGCAGTGTGAGCACTCACACCCCTTGCTGTGGTCCACACATCTGAATAAATGAGTACTTGTATTGAGGAAAAAGATTGAAGAATGCTGATAAATATGCAAGCCTGATTTGTACTGAGAATACAGATGTTTTAGGAGAGGCAGTCTGTCCCCTCTGGAGACCTGTAAAGACTAAGTCATCGAAGCTCAGCCTTTAATTTCAACGATGACTTGTTACAACAAGAAAAAAAACAAACTAATAATAAAAAGGGTAAATAGTGCTGCTTTGCAGTTGGCAAATTTATTGAGCTTGTCCTTTTCTGAGCAAATTTAATTTAAAATGAAAAGTAGCACATTTAGAATCAAATAGGATTAACTGCAAAGACTAAGAGCAATGATGAATCAATTTTAATCCATGACACTTAAATTAATTGCATAAACATGACAAATTAATCTCCATTAGTGGACTGGGAAGACTGAGGGGTTTTTCCAGAGCTGCTCTTCAGAAACACCTGTGTGGGCAGCAGGCTCAGCTTTCCCACCAGCTGCTGCTCACTGGCAGCAAGGTTATCCTTCTCAAAGGTGTGAATAATCCTGATGCGGCCAGTTCATAGGAGCAATGGGACAATTGAAGTTGGAGGGCACCTCAGATGGTCTCTTGCCCAACCTCCTGCTCAAAGAGGGTTGGTTGCTCAGGACTTTATCTGGGGTTTTGAAACCTCCAGGGAGGGAGACTGCACAGCCTCATTGGGCAACCTGGTCCACTGCTTCACTGTTCTCTTGGTGAAAAAGCTTTTTCTTCTACCCAAATCAGTACCTCTCGTGGTTCAATTTTATGCCCATTGCTTCTCCTCTTCCCTTGAAGAGCCTGAAGCCTGGCTCCATCCTCTCGGTAACCTCCACGTAGGTATGGGAAGGCTGCGTTCCTGTAGTCACTTCTGTGATTACCAAGGCTCTTGCAGCAGCACAGATTCAGTTCTGCTGATAGACAGGGGAAAGGAACGGTTGGAGAAAGAATTGTGGGAAGCAGACTGAGCTCAACCAGGTTTCCCGGTAGGCTATGGAATTCCACTGTTAGGAGAGATTGTGTCCATGAAGGCTATTTCAGCATGAGTGGCTCCTGGTCCATGTCAGACCTCGGTAAGTAACCAGAAGGGAGAAAGCTGGGAAGCTAGCAGTCGGCTGTTGTAATCACAACAGCGAATGTACCTGTAACTCAGGCTGAGGCACTGAGAAGGGTGACTGCAAACTGAAGGCCCTACAACAGGAAATATTTACCTGCAAATCAGCAAACCTCAGGAAAGCAGTACATGGTTGAAAAGGAATTTCACCAACGTGTCTGGCTCTATCGTGGTCTTTGTTCTTGAGCTTGGTTAAAAGCATGTTGCTGAGCAGCGAGGTGATAACGTGCAGGGTAGCTTCTCGCCGATCTCCTCACTGCACTGCCCGTCACTGTATGTGCCAGAGGAGTCTAGAAGGGAGGCGGCATGCCTGCATGCACAAGTTTTTGTGTCAGGAATCTATTTTATTGCAGCATTGTGCGTTATCTTTCTCAGATAGTAGCCCCTATCCTTAAGTTTACCATTGCCTTGTTCCCCCAAATCCTATTGTAATAGTATCTGGAGGATGTTTATAACCACCGTGTTCTGAAATGGCCTGTTTGAAGCTCAGTAAGGAAGAAAGGGCTGCTATCCTATTTGAATTTAGATTTAGCTACCTAAACTGGAGACAAGTAATTGAGATTTTAATGTGTATTTCCTGTGTATAAGGAAAATTGAGACTGAGCAACTAAAGTGGCGGTACTGAAGAGGAAATGTCCGTATCAGTTACCACAAACCTTTTCTAAGGTGTCCTGCAAGAATAAATATTAAGGATTAGGCAGAAAAACATATCCTAAGACATGAATATTATTCCCTGGTTTTAAAACTCTTTGCGCCATGACTACAGATTTCTGGCTGGTATTTGTAATTAGGATGAAATGTAACTGTCTTGATATCAACGTGATATTTTTGATGTGATCGTAAAACCTAATGATTTCTCTTCCTTTGTCTTTGTAGAGCACTTTTATCAACAGACCTGCCCTAGGGATTTTACCTCCAGAGAACTTTGCAGAAAGACTGAAGGAATCTTTGTTATCAGTAAGTTTGAGATAGCAGTGATGAGTTACCATGTTCTGTGTTTAGGGACACGGGCCTATCAAGGGATGTTATGATGTTAGTAGGGAATATTACAGATCAGCTGTTTGTCCACCTGCCTTCCCACTGTAAGGAATAAGACCGAACCTTTTTCTCCAGCTTGACACCTGAATGGGAGAGGGTGACGTGTCTGCTTTACACAGATACTGCCTCTTGCATTCTGGATTCGAGAACTGATGAGAACAGACATTGTCACTAACTTATGTTCGCTGTGCTTTCATAAGAGGTAGTGGAATAAGTGGTTTCTGTTTGTCTTGGTTTAAATCTGAAGATCTTGGGACTGAAACTGAGTTGAGCTCTCTCAGCCGTAGTTGAAACTGGCTTCCCTCATCCTAGGCATGGTTGGTCTCCTGTTCTAGTGAAGTTTATGATGTTAAGGACTGATCAGTATTATCATCACTTTGCACTATACTTGTGCTTAATATTTTGGAGTAATTTTCTGTCTTTGTTGACAGGTGGCTCCCAAGGGCCTGCCACAGGTGATGACCATGTCTTGTGGATCCTGCTCTAATGAAAATGCCTTTAAAGCGATATTTTTGTGGTACAGAGTGAGTAAAATATTAAGGTGTTTTTTGTAGGTTTAGATGTAGAAATGTGTATTTATTAATCATCAGAACTGTTACTGTAAAACAAAGTAAGGCTTGTTGTTGTTCATGATGTTATTTATATTCAGTCTAGTATAAAATCTTCATTAAAAAGCCTTCATCTAAGCTTTCACTTTATATTGACACAACTTTAGGAATTATAAAGAAGTGGAAATAAAGAAAATGCACATTTCAGTCAGTATGTAAGAGCTACAGTCACTGTCTTCATTGGCTCTAATGGGGAATACCAGCATTACTAATTTATGGTTCAGCTGTAAATGCATTGATTACAACTACAGGAAAACTATGTGAGTGTGTGTTTGGGTTTTTTGCAGAACAAGGAGAGGGGCCACAATAATGTCACAAAAGAGGAACTGGAATCTTGCATGATTAACCAGGTAACATTTGTTCTTTACCGCACCTACGCAAAACGTACCATTGGCTTGGGTTTATAAGGGAACACTGGGAGGAAAAATTTGCTTTACTGTCTCAGAAGTGAAATCTTGGTTTTGCAAATTTAGACAATGGTGAAATACAAACTGCTCCCAACAAATATCAAGACCTGCTGCTTCTATTCTTTTGCATCCTTCCCAGTTGTGAATCTTGAGAAGATCTCCTTTTTTTCATAATATATTGCTAGAGGGGCCCATTGAGATCATTAATACATGGAAAAGTTTCAAAGAATAACAGACCTTCTAAATTTTTTTTTTCAGATGTTGTGGTTTTATGGCCTAAAACTGATCAAGGTGTTGGTTAAAATTAGACTGACTAAATGTTAACAGCAGGCAGGATGGGGAAATTGAGATGCAGCTGATAAACCTCTGAAGTCCTATTCACCTGCAGCCGAGGTGGTCTTGCTCCTACGTGTCACAAATCTTAACATGCAACAATAGCAGAAAACAGAGTCTTTAATCTCTTCTTTGAGATAAACGTGTTAGAAATGAATAGCCTGCTGGTCCCAGCCTGATCTTTGGAGCATTCACTTCATTCACAGGGGATTAGGGAACTCATTTGGCTCTAAAAATGAGGAGGGCTCTTACGGGGTGGGGTTTTTTTTGGTTGGTTTGTTTGTCTTCAGAATTATTTTTTTAAGTTCTGTGATGTTGCTTACAGCATGGTCAGACAGATGGCTGTGCCAATACAAATAGGAGGATGGCACATGACCTGAAGGAGCAGGAATTTTATAAGATGACCAGACTTCTAAAACTAATGATGGCTTTTTGTCCAAGCTTAGCTATCTAAGCATTAGGATTCCTCTTTGAGCTAATTGTCTCTTTACAGCTGGGGGAGGGGGCAGATTTGAGAGGGCAACACAATGTCACTTTTCAGGGGGGATCCTCCAGAATCTAGTTACAAATATCGTAGCCTTGACCCTGTAGCTGAGTGTGGCGTACAAGACTAAAGGTGTAAATGGAGTGTGTAAGTGGTGACAATCCTCTCACTTGCAGGGTGAGAGAGAGGCATAAAGAATGAGAATTTGTATTTTTAGAGGGGGTGGCGGGTTACCCCAAGTGTAACCTTTTATTAAATTGCAGTAGTGTACAGTTTGCATGTCTTTTGTCATGGTTCCTTCTCATTCTTGGTACAGTGAGTCATCAGGAATGCGTGGGGCAGCCCCAGCCTCTCTTTGCAGAGCCCCTGCGGCCCCTGAAGCCACACCTGCCACAGCCACCCCATACACATGTGCTCGTAGCTTGTGCAGAAAGGGGCTGATGGTACCGAATGTTCAGCCTTTGTGTGAGCTCAGGCGTGAAGTCATATTATGATACGGTGTAAATTGCCAAGAATTCATTAGTATTAACGATGTATGTTTAGGAGGCCGGGAAGTTTTTAGGGGATGACAAATTTATTGGTTTCAGTGGGTAAATGTAACAGTTTGCGGTGCCTGATGGCTGAAGAGGAGGCCGGTCAGCACGCTGGGGGAGGCAGCAGCTTGGCTGCAGCCACCCCGCTGTGCTCTGGCTGTGGGTTTGTGTCTGGGGGGCGGCAGGGCCCCCTGCCCGCGGCTCCGTGCGCTGACCACCCGCCTGTCTGCTCTGCTTGCAGCCCCCCGGCTGCCCCGACTACGCCATGCTCTCCTTCATGGGCGGCTTCCACGGGAGGACCATGGGTAAGAAAAGCGCTGCCAGCAACACCTCCTTTTCCTTTCCCTCCTCTCAGCCGCTGCAGTGAGCTGTCATCTCACCGAAGCTTCTGGAAAGTAGATTTTTCCTTAGACAAAAATACCAGTGGAGAAGCTGTAGGTTTATCGAAGGTTTGCCTTGGAAGCCCCACCAGTACTGAATCAGAATGGTTGAGTGACAGTGGGAACTAGTTTTACATTTCTTGAAAATTCCTTTTCAGAAGGTCTCTTGGTTTCCTGTCTATACTAGTAAAAATCTCACTCCTGGGGCAAAATCACCACAACACACAAACAAGATGTCACTCATTTTTATCATTTTATATTGGCTCAATCCCTGTTCTAAACATGTTACCCAAGACTGCTGTAATTCTGAGCTTTCCCAGCAGTTGTCTTTGGACAGGTGAAACCCATCTCGTCTGAGCAACCTGTTCAGATTGACAGAGTTTCTCCTGTTCTTCTGGAACAGTGCATGTAGAAACTGATGCTTAAAAGCTAGAGCAATCCACTTAAGCTTGACTAAATCCAATTACCCAGTATTTCAGAAAATCAAGTAAAAACATAGATCAATTAAGACAACTCTACAGTCCTGGTGTCAGGTAATTTTTCACCTCTTGGTAGCTTTTTTCCCATATTGTTCCTAGTTGGATATTATTCTAATTTTTGCTTTTCTGGGTTTAGGTTGCTTAGCTACAACTCACTCTAAAGCAATTCACAAATTGGACATTCCATCACTGGACTGGCCTATTGCTCCATTTCCAAGGCTAAAGTATCCCCTAGAAGACTTCGTGAAAGAGAATCAACAGGAAGAAGCCCGTTGTTTAGAGGAGGTAAAAAATTCACTGTTGTTTTGATTTTGAAATAATGAATAGCGTTAGTAGGATTAGCTGCTTTTCACTAAAAGAATGTTTTCGGGGATTGGAACAGCATGTGATTAAAACAGCATTCAGTGTTGTTTACAGTCAGAAGTTTGTCCCTGCCTTTCAGAAGAGCAGCCAGCTTACTGTGACTTAGAGGTCTATGTGAATCATACTAAAGCGGAGTTTCACACGCAGGAGAAGTTCATTGTCTCACAGTGGACCTGCCTGCCACATCTTGCAAAGGGGCATGGACTAAGAGAGAGCACAGTGTGTATAATCCTGTGCAAAGAGAACCTGTAACAATATCGCAGGTTTTTCAGCTTTTCTGTGGCAGCCTTCTGGCATGAGCTCCGATCATCTATGAAACGCTGAAGTTCTGTTGCTGAGATTCAGTCTTTCTGGGACGAAATGAGCAAATGTCCTGAAAAGTGAATGTACCGTAAATGCTTGATTTACAGGTGGAAGACCTGATTGTAAAGTACAGGAAAAAGAAGAAGATTGTGGCTGGAATCATTATAGAACCGATACAGTCAGAGGGTGGGGACAATCATGCCTCGGATGACTTCTTCAGAAAGCTACGAGATATTGCCAGAAAGGTAATCAAATATTTCACTGTTCACGCAGGGGTAGCTAAACATGCAAACATTTCTTGGCATCTCCAGAGGCCTTCCCCCCTGCCCCAGGCACTTTGAGAGCTTCACAGGCCTGCCTGGTAGCAGTTGGGGTAGTTACGGACATGTGTTCACCTCCAAGGAACCCCTTGTCTGTCAGCACAGTATTTTCTCTTCCCTTCGATGCATGCCTGGCGGTTGCCTCAGTCCAATACATTTTCTTCTAATGTCTAAGTGAGGGAGAAATTACTCTGATTCATTAACTGTGGATTTCGCAGTAGCGTTCTTTAAATGGTAATGCCAGTTTGTTGAGGGGGTTCAAACAATTTCAGAAGAGGTGGGTTTGGAAAAGAGTAATTTTTTGTTGACATACTTGTTTTTAACTGCAAAAAAACCTGAAACACAAATTGAGTCCGACTGTAGTGCTGATGTTCCAGTGAAACAATGAAAAGGACAGACATCTGGATACTTGGAATGGGACTTTTTACCTCTCTAGAAGCGATGACCCTCAGTAAGATCTACTCAATGCTTTTTTCACCCTGTGCTTACAGAGAATACCATAGGTGACATTTGAAAAAATCTGCCTTGAGTGAAAGCAACTTTTCCCACTGTTAACAGCTGCTCATGCAAGGGTGATGCAGTAAGGTGAAATGAACAGGTTTGCCTTGTCTAAAACGAGATGCTGCCAAAAGCTTTTAATTACAATATTGTGATATAGCTTGATCTCTCTGTTCTAAAGTTTCAACAAAACAGTCCTTCACATAAAAAAAAAAAAACAAACAAACAAACAAAAAACCCACCAAAACCAACCAACCAAACAAACAAAACCCCAGACATTGCCAGATAAAGTGAGTAGCTCTTTCAGCGGACTCATCTGAAAAGGCAGCTCTTCCAGGATCATTCTAGGCCCCAAGACTGAACAGATCATGCTGCTGGTGTTGCCTTTGTGCCACAAATGCCTCACTTAGGTTGGAGGAAGAGACTTCTTATTTAAACCAAACAAAACTCCTAGAAATGACATTCTGCTTCCCTCAGGGGCTTTGAAAATGCCACCCAGACTCCTCCTGGATCTTTTCAGGTATCCTCTAGAACTGTTCAAGACTATATAAAAACATGTACTTTGTGAATTTTGGTAGAAAATATGTTTGTAGTGCCTTTCTGAAAAAATAGCTGAATTTTAATTGTGAAATATAATGCACAGTGAGTGCCATTAGTATGGGGGTGGAGGAGGGGAGGATGGGAGCAGTGAAGGGAGAGGAAGGAGGGATGTTGCACGTAGTTGGCTTGTATTTATCTGTTCACTAAGGGAGGTATTTTTGTTTTGAAAGTGAGGGCTCACATTCCCTGCTCTTTGCGCCTGTCTCCGCAGCACGGCTGTGCGTTCTTGGTGGATGAGGTGCAGACGGGAGGTGGCTGCACAGGAAAATTCTGGGCACATGAACACTGGGGCCTGGATGACCCAGCCGATGTGGTAACGTTCAGCAAGAAGATGATGACAGGAGGATTTTTCCACAAAGAGGAGTTCAGGCCAAATGCTGTAAGATTTTCAGTGAAATTTGAACTCTGTGCTGTAGTTGGTGACCCATTCATGAGGAACTGTAATGTCCATGGAAGGGACAAGCTTTCCTTCAGTAATGCAGGTTCAGCTAGATGGAGCTACTGTGTCATAGACAGCTTTGTGCTTGCGCAAAACTTGTTGTCGCTTCTTCACTTCTATTCCAGTTGCTGTCAGTCACAACGATCATAAAGCTGGTGGGAGGGAGGGGAGAACTGGGTTCAGACAAATGAACTTACCTTCAGTACAAAATCCAACACAAACTGACGCCTTTTTCCACAGGGCAGCTTGGTATCTTCAGGGCTTGTATGTCAGCATTGGGGATTCTGCCAGCAAGGTTTCTTCTTCGCATTAATGACGCTTCAGATGTAAAAATAAATTTAAAAAAAAAATCAAGGGGGAGAACATAAAGCTTGAATGTAAAACCCAAATAGATGATGCTGATTTCCCTGACATCTATAGCCATGTTTCAGTGAGGTGTCAGAGCAGCAAGAAGAACGCACTAAATTTGTAGCATCAAGTACTTGCCCTTGGTTTCTGCTCAGCAGGGCAGCTGTATTTTGCACTTACAACAGGAAAAAAAGGGGGGTTGGCGACATTAGTGCCTGCTTTTTCATACACCAGAGGTTTGCATTACCAGGTTGATGGCTTGCTTTTCTTTATTGGAGTGATTTGCCTGTTAACATGTTCCACAACTCTCTTTCCATCCTTTCCCAAGCCCTACCGGATTTTTAATACCTGGCTTGGAGACCCATCCAAGAACCTTATGCTCGCTGAAGTCATTAAGGTTATTAAAAGAGAAGACCTTCTAAACAATGCAACCCACGCCGGGAAAGCACTGCTGACTGGGCTGCTGGATTTACAGGTAAATGTCGGGAAGGATTATAGATAAGGAGAAACCGACTAGTTGGGTAGGATCTGACCTCAGCCAGTTCAAACACCTGGACTGAGGAGGTCCAGCTGGGGACTAGACCGTCATCATAACTTGCTGGTTTAGGTACTTCAGTGCAAGCCTGAGTAACCGTGTTCCAGTTGGAACTGAAGTAAACTTTCTTCTACTGACTCAAGAATGCTGGTTTTATATAGCTTAATCCAAAACAAAGGGTGACCCCCCGCAAGTATCTGAAGGTACGAACTGCAGCGAGTTAAAATTATTTTGCTAGAAGTCTCTGTTACCACAAGCAGGTAGCACTTCATTGTCCCAAAAGTTCTTTATAAAGGAAAGTGCCTTCATGTTTTGTTACAATTCCGTTGGGCTGTTCAAACGAGAAAATTGTAGCCTTCCCTCCCTTGACTAAGGGACGTTCACTCACAGCTTCAGCTAAGGAGCCCCAGACGAGAAGGAAAATCAGACAGGCGTGTAAGAGTAGGCTTGCAGCTGCTCGCCTCCCAAAAGGCATTTTGGGCAGGATAAACCCAAACTACAGTCTCTGCTCTCTCCACGACTAAATGCATAGCAGGCAGGAGAACGCCAGCTGCTACAGTCTTCGTACTTTGGGGGCCAGACTGCCACTAGTACTAGCGCGGAAAGGCTGCTCTGACCGACGGCGAGGACGGTAGTCAGTAGGCAGTGCAGCAGGTAATACCAGCCAGCAGTCCTGGTGCAGCATAAGAATGAGCTGGTTTCTAGCCCCATTCCAGACTGTTTATGCTCGGATTTTCCTGGAGTCCATTTTAGATGTGAGGCACTTTACGCTCGCTTCAAGAGGCTCCAAGGAAGATTTTACGTGACCCAGCTCATTCTCACTTCTGCTCTTACCCGCATGGTGAGGAGAGAACCTGCCTGCTGCTGGGCTCTGCAGGCTGCGGCTCGCGGCTGCCATCAGACAGGGGCGACCAGGCCGTGCGGCTACGTGAGGAATCCAGCCTGGGCAACAGCCTCACGCCGCAGGCGCGGGGGCGGCAGCAGGGTTTCCGTGTGGCAGCGTGCCTGGCGGAGCAGAGCTTGCTGCCAGGTGCCCTCTGTCGCAGCAGCTGCCATGCTGTGCTTCTCTCTGCAGGCTCGTTACCCCCATCTCATCAGCAGAGTGAGAGGAAGAGGAACATTCTGTTCATTTGACACTCCAAACGATGCTACTAGAAACAAGTTAATTACAATAGCCAGAAACAAAGGTAAGAAATGTGTCTGTGGATTAGCTTCAAATGACAAACGGTAGCATAAATGCTCTGAATTTTCCTTTTCTGTACGGTGTATGTGTCTGCAGTATCGGAGGACAGAAGGGAAGTTACAAACAAACCTGTATTTAGACTTCCCTGGAAATACTTGACCAGTCCGTTCCACGGTGTGTACGTTTACCTTTCTCTGTAGGTCTAACGGTACTGGAAGAGATCTGTGTAGAGCATGAGTGTTTGTGACACCACTTCCATATTCCTCTGCAGTGACCTTAGGGACACCTAGGCCCAGACGGCTTCTAGAAACAGATCAGGAAAATGGCAATGTTAATGTCACTGTCACTCGGGAAAACACAGGGAGAAAACCCATTAATTTTACAGAATACTTAATAATGAAATACAATGAGTTGCCTCAAGTGGGCACAGATCTACATCTGCCTCCCTTGTACTACCGAACTCTTACCCAGCTGTGCCAAGCCCAGGTACTGGGAGGGGAACCTCGTGATCTGAAGCCTAACATCCCCTTTATCTGTGTACGGGCCCTGGGTTTGCTGCTGTCAGGCTTTGCTGTTACTCGTATCTCTTCAAAGAAGCAGGCATGATGCATCTAAACTAGTGTGAAACCAAAATTTTAGAGTGTAAAAGACATTGATATTTTTTGTTCTTGGAAACTAAGCCAGCAGGGAGAGAAGGCAAGAGATTTGTTTCATGCCATGCATTTAAAGTACTGCAGGAGGAAGTTCAGCAGCACTGAGCTATCTTAACTTTTTGTAATTAAAAACAAAAAGTAGTTTAAAAACAAAATTGCAAAGAAACCTACTGGGTCTTCCTGTGGCACTGACGTCCTTAACCAGTAGAGTGCTGCAGCTTTGAAGTCTCCAGTGCTGCCTGAGTTCTGCGCTGGATGGAGTGTGCCATTGATGCCGGTTAGTCCCAGCGTTCCCAGTGGGCTGCAGGACAGCTACAGGCACCGCAGTGTTCTTTTAAGTTGCTGTGAAGCTTGAGGGCCCTTTGCACCACGGACTCCGTGCTGTGTCCCTGTGTGGTTAGCAGTGGTGGGGGGAGCTTCCGTCGGCCCCACAGTGAGGTGAACCCCATTCGGAGACCTGCGTTTTCTGGGTGTTTGGCGAAGACGGGGGTGACTAGAGGACCTGTTGTGTTCTGTTCTGGTTTAGGTGTTGTGCTGGGAGGCTGTGGTGACAGATCGATCCGTTTTCGTCCGACGCTGATCTTCAAGGATCACCACGCGCACCTCTTCCTGAACATTTTCAGTGACATCTTGGCAAACTTCAAGTAAGAAGCAGCTCCCTCGCACTGAACAGCTGATCATGAAATTAGTTTGCATTAATTCATGTCTTCTCTACTTACCAGATAAGTGTAAAGTCATAACCTAAGGTTTGTGTCCTGTCTGTAACCCTGCCCGAGGCAAGCCGCTCCACGCAGACTGGGCCCGGGCAGAGCCTTGGTACTGGTCACCAGCAGGTACGTGCAGCGGTCCCACGCTGTGCGTTCATAGAAGCTGTGGCCCTCCGTCTTCGGCCTGGGTCCTGTTAATTGCAGAGTCCTCTCCACCTTCACGGCCCTGACTATGTGATTGTCTGCCCGTGACCTGGCACAGCCTGTTTTCAGGTGACCCCGCAGGGTGCTCTGGCGCCCCGGAGCAGCACCAAGCGTGGCCTAACGCGCCAAGCCACCGGCCTGCCACCCAGAGAGCGCCATTCTCTGCTGGCAGCTGGGATCGAGTCTGGGTCTCAAGGAAAGCTCTGCTTTCCACCACTGCCAAGGCCAGTGTTTAACAGAATATTTCCAGCTTCGTTCCCCTGAATCCAGACGCCGTCAGCTGCTCCGTGCCCAGCCTGCACACCCTGCTCAGGGCCGCTCGTGCCCTCAGCCACCTGTGCAGCGCTGTATGTGGCGCTGGGGTACTTGTACTTTTTTTCCTCATCCTGGGTTTTAAAACTTGTGACTTCTCTTGCAATCAGACTTGTACAGAGAAGACTATACCCTGAAGTACGTAATTTGACAAAGCTTAAGAGAATCACATGAAGCACATTATTTCCACCTCTGTCAGCAATCTAGAATGTGTGTTATGGGAAATGGTAAAATAAATCAACAGCCATTAATTTATCTATTACAAGTTCTACGTGAATACTTGAGATATTTTGTAAAACTACAGCAGCATTGCTTGATGTTAGCCATTACCTGCACATTTATAATGCAAAGTAATACTATTTTTGTTCTAATAGTTTATTCTAAGTCCTTGATACTTCAGAGATCTTCTAGAAAGCTGCAGGATCAAAAAGTATCAACAGTTCATTGATCTGTTTCTCTTCAGAGAATTGTTTGGACGTCTCTTTACTACGTACCCTTTGCTGTTTGCTTAAGGCTGACTTGAACTAGGTCTGGTGCCTTTTATTTTCTTGGCTAGCAAGCATCCAGGTTTTGCTTACTAAGTTTAACTTTGCGTTGTGCACCAAAAACAGGGACCACAGTGGACTGTACAGTTGCCCTATCAGGATCTGACCACAGGTTTTAAGTACATGGTAAGAGACAGAACCGTTACAAGATTTACATGTTTAATACAGCTGCCAAACTGTGCAAGGTCTCTTACCTGCTCTGAGAAGTGTTAATCATGGTTTTCCCATTTGATTTTTTGAGTGCTGGTACTGGGAAACTCGAGTACCTCACTTCTGCTAGCTTAAAAATAGTGGGATTTCTGTGAACCTCTCTGCAGAAACCAGAATTCTGGTGCCAGCTGGTCAGAACCTGAGCAGGTTTTTGAAAAGAGGTTGTAGAAGGGAGGGGGGAAGGACTGGTAAACTGGTGTTCAACAAAACCTCATTGTCATCGCTGTCCTCGTCAGCGTGTTATGAGCAAGAGGCAAGTCAAACCAAGAACTGTACTCGACAGCATTTGGGGGACTAGTTTGTTCAACATATCAGTGCAGTAGTTCTAGTAAATGTCTCTAGCAAGTCTTGTACTTTGACAGAAGCAAAGGTCCAGTAATTACCACATCTTCACTTTTATTATGAATACTCTAGGTGTTTTTATAATTTTTACTGACACTCAGTAACTGGATAATTGTGTACAACATGTTGATGAAATCCTGTTAGCGAATACGTAGAAAGCACTGCGCTGAAGCATATAAAGTTACTATTGTTTACAGCATCCTGTGGACAGTGCCAAATGTTTAAACAAATACTCACCCACACTTCATGGTGTAACTAGTAACTGTACACAGATCCATAACAAATGACATCTCATGTGTAATCAATATTCTTAAATAAAATATTTATAATTGGACTTCTCCAGGGCTTTTTATTTTACACCTAACACGTGCCTGAACTGCACCATTAGTGCACATTGAATAGATTCTTATGAAGAATCTATTCTTTGCCTCCAAGAACCAGGTGCACGCACACACTCCCCGGCAGGTTGCTGCCTGGGTGTCTAAGCCAAGGACCGTTCCTCCCTTCCTTTCGGTACCACACCTGTCAGCTGAAGTTTAAAATCATGGAGCCCCCATTAGGGAAAGTACAACACGAATAAATAGGAACTCGGGGTTAGTCCATGCACTCAAATGGCAATTTTACTTCCCTGCGCCTGCCGACCCACTGAGAGACAGAGGTTTCGATGTGCGGGAGGAACAGACAGGGAAGGAACACTCCAGCTTTCCCTGCTGGTGACCGTCAGTTTATTTGCCAGTTTTAAGGGAAGGAACAGCTGGAAGAGCAGCGAAGGAGCTAACTTGCTTCTGCCAATTCAGGGAGTTGTTACATGTTGCAAGTGATCAGGTTTGAGTCTCTCCGGTTTAAATCCTGCTCCTCCTCCCTACTGGGGTTTTGGTTTTAGGACAGGAGGAATCGCCCTAATGCCACAGTCAGACCACTGTCCTTCATAGACACAGGTGCTGAGGTGATCAGCCCTGCAAGGGCAGCAGAATACAAAGGACACGTATTTTCAGCCTTACTTCAACATAGCTTTTAGGTATCTTACCTTTTTTCGTACCATTTGTGGTAAACCCAGATTGGGGGAGTAGGGAGTGGAAAGGGTATTTGGCAACAGAGCTTTTGATGTTAAAATATGCCCAATCAGTAACCACGTGAAGGGATACAGGTGACTTGTTTCCCAGGCCGTACAGCAATCTTCACAGAAAACTGCTTAATTCACATAGTCCAAGATAATTTTGGTAACATCTCCTGACGTTTTTGCAGCTCAAAACAGTTTGGAACACCAGCACTGATTACATGTCATTCCTACATGCAAACCAAACACAAACATGACTCCATACAAAGGACAAGTAGTCCCAAATTCTCAGCTGCCCATCAGGACCTGAACCGAACAAAGGATCGCAGCCTGTCCCTGTCATGTGCAGCATCACAGCAGAGGTACAGTCTGCCCTGGTTCCGAGGGGGAAGCAATTTCTACGAGAGGCTCCTGAAGCGCTGCCCCAGCCCAGCCCAGCCGCCTGGCAAGATGGGCCTTGCTTTGCCCAGTTGCGTTCGCGTCCTGGCAGACCTCTCCAAGAGACCCCACGCCCCTGACGCAGCATTACAGCCCGTCACACCCCACTCCTCCCAGCGGTGGCGGCCGCAGTAAAGCATGGGCATGTGTCTCTGATGTCCAGCGCCACTTTTCGTACGTAGGTGCAAGACCAGTTTGAATTTCAAGAGGCTTCCCAGTCAGCCTAAAATTCGCTGAAAGAAACAGCGACTTCAAAGCGAGGCTGCTCTGGCAGTCACTGCACTTCGCTTCCAGCGTTCTTCCTGGTTTGCAATGACCCAGAGCCCAGCTGAAACAGTCGGGGGCAGCACCAGCAATTTGCCTCCCACTGCACGCCCCAAGTAGGACAGTTTAGACTGGGAACCGCTGGTGACAGCACACCATGCATGTGCCACCGTGTCTGACACGGAAGAGACACTGCTCACACCTTAAACTGCAAAAAGACATTTATTCTAGTGGATTATTCTTTACCATTTCTACTTTCTACACTGAGTGCACTTACCAGCAGGCTTTGCACAGGAAAATGACAGAAGTATGTCAGTTTGGTAAATGAATTAAACTTCACAGAAGAATAAGCACAAGGAACATGTGACCTGGAAAAATCACTGGAAAGCCGCTGCTGTATCACTCAAGCTCTCCAAATATTTGAGCAAACTTCTGTCTGTCTACAATCTGGCCAAACTTAATCGTAAAATACAAAACATCTGTACTATTGTACCGTTTGAACTGGAGAAGTAGCTCCCCCTTGCTATCTCCAACTTCATCCAAAGTCATCACTGTCTCTGTGGGACAGTAAATGTCATTCCGTCTTCCCCAGAATGTCAAGTGGGCCACTCTGACGGTACGGCCCGTTTCACTTAGGTAGATTAATCCAATAATTCGTCTGAAAAAGTAGCTCATACCATACAACATTGCACCGGCAAAGATCGCGATGTCAGTTGTGTATAAGAGGATATTCTGAGAGACCTGGTCTTGCAGATAGAGGTAGCAGATGGGAGGCAGCATGACCACCGTGGTGGCGGTCTGTACCAGCTTCAGTCGGGACAGGACCCTGCAGTACTTGATCCACGGAAACCTGTAGACCAGCCTGAACTCTTCTGTTTTCTCACCCGCAGCCGTTGGTCGGACCACAGCAGCCGGGGCCGCCTGGCACAGACATGCAGACGGCTCTCGCTGTCTCCCCACAGAGTTACCAACACCGTGAACACACAGTGAGTGCAAACACTCCTGTGTGCCAAGGAAACAGGGCGGGCAAGCATCTTCCTTCTTCCATGGCCTTGTCCAGAGCCCGTTTCGTAGACACGTCCCAAGAGACGGTGCCAGGCAGACTTTAGTCCTAATTCTGCAGAGCCGAGCCTGTAAGGAAATATTCCCACAGGTCATCACTTCAGTCGTCTTTATCACCGAATCACAGTTAGCTCAGGGTCCGTTCCTGAGGCACCTGAAGACTGGAAGCACAAGCCCCAGCTCACTGTAACCTCATACTTAAAACCAGCGCTACGTTAGGACACGGGTATTCGTGCTCGCACCCTCCCTGCGGATCCAGAGGGAAAACACTTCTGGTAACGCCGCCGGCCCCAGTCAGCTCACTGAGCGTCACCTTGCGGCACCCCCGGCCTCTCCCGTTTCGGGCAACTTCAACGGGGAAGCACCAGCACGACGGGCGGCTGCTGAGCGAAGGAGCGGGGGAACCCGGGGCGGCAAGCCCGCGGGATCGGCGACACGTTAAACAACCGCTTCGGTACCAGCTCCAGGGACACGGCAAAAGGGGGCTGAGCGCGGTGAGGGCAGAGAGCGCGGGGTCACCGCAAGGGGCCCCGGGAACGTGCGGGACAACGGGAGGGACGGGCGAAAAGAACGGCACGGACGCAGCGCAGACGTAACACACACGGTGCCGTTCCGCCTGTACGAG